CATCACCCACGGAGACATCATGAAGCATGTCACCTCGCCTGGCCGTCACTGTTGCTTTGATCCAGCGTGGATGACCTGCTCGATAATCGCGAGCGTAGACCGGGGCTCCAACGACGAATTCTTTATGTTTGTTGCTGGCACCAGAGTGACTAGGTGGCTTCTCTGTCGGAATGAGTGCATCGTTTGTGGTGCGTAGCTTGCGGCCCATCAATGCTTCAGCTGGTGACTGGCATCCTGGCGTAGCTGGATTCGGTGTGGACCGATACGAGAGCAAGAAGGCTTGAAGACACTCATACACGGTCCCCTCCCCGCGAGATTTCAAAAGCGCCCTCTTGAATGTGTCGACAAATCGCTCCGCTTGACCGTTGGATTGGGGATGGTACGGCGGTGAGCGGAGGTGTTCGATGCAGTGTCGGCGGCAAAAGTCTTTGAAGACGGAAGACGTAAACTGGGTACCATTGTCGGACACCAAGACCTCGGGAAGGCCATGTTGACTGAAGATTCGTTGGAGACAAGCCAGAGTGGCAGATGCGGTTGGTGGGTTGACGGCGACCACTTCCGGCCATTTGGAATAGGCGTCGACCATGACCAGATAGGAAATACCATCGATGGGACCAGCGTAATCGATGTGCACTCGAGACCACGGTTTTGATGGCGGATGCCAAGGAACCGGTGATTGGTGTGGTGGCATCTTGGATGCTTGTTGACATCGTGAGCAGCGGCGGACCAAATCTTGAATGTCGTTGTCAATACCAGGCCAGTACACATAACTGCGGGCAACTGCCTTCATTCTGTTCATACCGGGGTGCGCAGAATGGAGCTGGCGGAGTACAGCTTGCCGGAGACATGAAGGAACGACAACTCGATCTGCAGTCATGAGACAGGAATCGACCACGGAAAGGGAGTCGCGGCGTTGATGCAGTTGTTTGAGTTCACCAGACAAAGTAATGTATTGCCAGGACGTCTGAACGTGACGGCTTTCTGCAAGACAGGGACTTGAGCAGTTGCACGACGTATTTCGGCGGCAGTGATAGGGAGACTTCGAATAGCGTTCGATAGTTGATAACGAACGTCATCCTCGACGGTTACAGCGGCAATCACTGTGTCTTCTACTGCGGCATGTTTGGAAATGAGGCGGGAGAGACCGTCGGCTTGACCAAAATCCTGAGTACGGCAGTAGCGGATTTCGAAGTCGTAACCAAGAAGGAAGACCGCCCAACGCTGAAGTCGGCTAGCCGAGTATGCCGGAATGCCCTTCTTTGAACCGAAGACTGAAAGTAGGGCTTGTGATCGGTCAGTAGCGTGAACCGTCGGCCATACAGCATCTTGTGGAACTTGGTGACGGCAAAGACAATGGCAAGGGCTTCCTTCTCGATCTGACCATAGTTCTTCTCCGCAGGCGTCAGGGTGCGGGAGACGTGCATAACAGCTTTCTCGGAGCCATCTGGGAATAGATGGGAGAGAACTGCTCCGATCGCGTAGGCAGAAGCATCAGCAGCGACCAAAATCGGTAAGGCTGGGTCGTAATGGGTCAACAGTAGATCAGAACTCAGGATGCATGCACAGCATGCACTCTGGCTGTGTATGTGCGTGTGCATTATATCTTTCCTTCAGTGTTTACGCGCGTAGGCGCAGTGTCCTCGCAGATGCGAGGAGCATGACCGTTTTTGTGTGAGCGCTTTCTTCACCTATCTACATACACAGACACGCATCCAGCCCGCTCATTGAACAGGTTGTAATCAGGAGGTTCAGTGTCTGTCTAACCCTGCTTAGTAACGTCGATGCTCTCAGGTTGAATGTCAGTTCTTTCTACGATTTAACCAATCGCCTACAACAGTACTTCCGTGCCCGATCTGCGGAGAGTATTAGAAAACGTCTGCGAGCTTAACGCTGGAAACTCATTGAAACCCAGACTCCTACAATCAAGCTCTGATTCACGTGTCTACACAACCGCGGGATAACGCGCCCTATCTCATGACAAGCAGACGCCCAGATGGGTCGTTCCATCGCCAAAAATGTCGTTATCATCATCACCTGGGAATCTAACAACCTATCTGTCAGGGCCACAAAGTTGATTTTCATGCGCCCGACACAACTTCACCCGATCACGACTCCATGACGAGAGCCAAGCGTCCAAGCGCCAACCCGAATCGTACCACCTTCGATCACACACGGAGAATCTACCACGCCTGCCATGGACGACTCAGATAGCTCCGAATCTGAACGATTCATAACAACATTCCAACACCTGGTCCGAGTGGCTAACCGCCTACTCCCGATACGTGCGGATTTAACCCAAGTACGGATCATCGAGCTACGAAATCTGTTAGCAGACTCTCTCACCCACCATTCCCAATACTAATTCAGTACGCACTTCAAAAACCATTGTCAAACGTGGTTTCCACATACTTGGAAGCTATCCAAACCGCGCAACCTCGCTAAAAGCGTTCAGAATAGCAAACAACGACGTAGACTCCATTTCGGTCACATCCAACGTCTTTATCATCTTAGACGTCGGGACGCGGCGGCAACGGTGCTCGATGGCAGATTTCTCATCTACAAGGAGAGGAAAAAATCCCCGGCTTCATCGAATATTGGACATGGGTATTCTCACAACGACCAATGCCTGACTATCGATCCCCAAGCGTGATCATCCAGCCCAAAATAGATCGTGTTGAACCCGTCTCCCTAGCTGAAGTTCACCTTATCGCTATGCAAGATGATTGGCTCAGCGCCTGGCGTCGACCGCATCACCCCGAAAGACGTTGAATGTATGGATCCCCACTTCTGAACTGCATTCTTGCCTCTTACTCATAACCCTCTCACCTAAATGTTGCTAGAGTTACCTTCACCCCAGAGATCTCGTCTCCCACACTTCCTGAATATTACTGCCCAATATCTGTTGCCTCGGTTTTAACTCGCCTTTTGCATCGTATTCCGTCTGAGCGCTGGATTTCCTCCTTCCTATCTGACCGCCTACAATTCGGTTTTCTCAAGAAGGACGGATGTTTTGAGACCACAGCTGTCTTTCATTCCATGATTCGATCCTCACATTCCCAGTGCTCCCCCACTCTCGTCTCTGTGGACATTTTAAAGGCCTTTGATTCCATCTCCTATGATTCTGTAGTCCGAGCTGCATCTACTTTTGGGGCCCCTAAGTTTATTAATTATTTGCCTTCTCACTATTCTTTGTCGATCTTAACATTCCGGGAAGTGTGAATTCACCAAGAGCGAGGCGTTAGACAAGGGACCCACTTTCACTCCTGCTTTTCATCACGACACTCGACGAAGCTCTTCAAAAGCCAGCCTCCTGTCGTTCGATGTGTCCCACAGGCCCTGCTGATTATATTGCATCCGCGAACGACGTGATCATTGTAGCGCAAAACAAAAATGCACTACGGGAACGACTCCTAACGTTTAGCAACAACCTCCGGCTTATTGTCTTTCCATAAACCAGATGAAAACTAAGACTGTAAATATCGTCATGGATAGATCCAGGCAGAAAGCGTTACTTGACACTTCTAACCTACAAGTAGGATCAAAAAATCTTCCACCAGCCCAACCGACGGATCCATTTAAGTTCCTGTGTCTACTCTTTAACTAGCACGGCAAGCTTCCGCCTCACTCCATCGAGAAGTTGCGTCAACCACTCCAGGGAACTTCGCAAGCACCATTAAAACTACACCAACGGAATGAACTTCTCAGGACCTTCCTCATCCCACGACACATCCACAACCTCTCGCTGGCAGTAGTACATCGATATACACTCAAAAGGATGGATAAATTAATCAATCGTTCGCAAATGGTTACGATTACCCAAGTATACAACGGTTGCCTTTTTCCATGCATCCATCATTGACCATGATTTAGGCACTCCTAATCCCTCGGCAATGTTGCCATTCATTCGGAAAGATAGACTGGAGCGAAATTTTTCTAACCAGAATGCCATCTTGAGCTGGGCCGTTCGTGACCACCAGTCGTGCGCGGGCTGAGTATACCGCGAGGACGTCCGCCTTTACGCGGATTCGAACCGGTGACCTTACGATTGCAAGCCAGGCGTGCAGATTTTGTGCAGAACCTCCATATGTTGACTACCTCTCTAAGATAACCACGTTGATCCAGTCCAAGAGTGGGCAACTTACAGATTTTTAATGTAACGAGCTACAACACACCGGTGCTTAGAATATGAATGTCGCGATAGTTCTAACGCAGTACAGCTAGACAGCCTTACAATGTTGCACGCTTCCGTAGGTGCGCTGCAGACTAAAAGTGTAAGGTGCGATCGCAGTACAAAGGTGCCTTTATCCCAACTATCATGGAACAACTGAACGGAATGGTAGATGAAGTCGCTTATCTCAGCCACTGTACTATTGTAGCTGTATAGCACCGTAGGGCCCCTGGTTTCGGCAGCCCCATGTTTCGGCGTCTCCATCTTAAACAGCTCCTAATCATACTGACGCCATATGGAGCAGGCTTTCAGCTAGCCTACTAGGTAAGCAATTTTGCTATTGTTACGTAATCTTCGCTCATGTCATGGTTTTTGTAGCGGTACATACTTTAGAGTTCGCCAGATATCCGCTGCGGCGTGCTCTTCTGGCCCTCGCTGAGTCCGATCCCGACTCACACTGCGTCTTAACGTTCGCAGTTATCACTGTTGAAATCTAGTGCCCATTTTAGTCTTTCGAATTCGATACTGTTTCCACTAAAACTACTGTAGGCTACACCAGGCTTAACAGACAAGTCACAAGACAAGTAAATGTGCGAGTTGGCAAACCGTTATCACTTTTTGAAGCGGTAAGCAACGGTGTCAGGCATACAACAGCCAATGTGGTACATGTACATGGACACATGACGCGGTGCAATAAGTCTTACTATAGGGGCCAGAGATATTGCCGCTACGAGTTCAAAACATCGAGAGGAGACTTTCTTTGATTACAAGGTTCGGAGAAAATGAATGCCCGTGAATCAAGACATCAGACAGAAGAGACAGATTAGAGTACCTGGGATGAGCATCGCGAACCACCGGAATCCGAAGAGATTGATCTTCAAACCGGGGTCGTAGGCCCATTAGTTTAACTAATGACATCAACAGCGCTTTATCCTCAAGCTCTAAAGAAAGCTTGACCAAAAGAAAAACTTACTTGTGTTTAGAAGAGCTTTGCCACTTTCAAGAATGTCATAATTTAGGGTGGAGAGGACAAGTTTCGGTTCGCGTCGAGCAGCGGCCGCCAACTCACCCACCGTCATTCCTTCCCACACATCAACAAGCGGAGATTTAGGCTTGGAGGGTTTGGAACATTTCACTTTCTGGTTCAGCAACCCAGCCTTAAATAAAACGGAACATAAAAAACGGTACCCACTTCCACCGAAAATGAGGCGAATACTTGCGAGACATATGATCCTTTCAGTGACAGAAGTTGAGATCTCACGAATTTGGGAATAGATTTGGAACCAAAGGCAAGGAGCTGAGGCATTTAATAAGGAGGCGTAGTAGAAAACTGATATATATTCATCCCCGAGTGTGGAGGTGAGCGTGAGAGCTGAAAGAGATCCAAAGGACTGAAAAGTGCATGACATTGTGGTAGATGAATGAAGAAAAGATTCAATTGTATTGCGGCACAATAGCTGAGGTGTTTTCTACGTGTATAATAATGATGATGGTGAGTGAGAAAAGAACACAGTGTGCCGCATGGTGTGTTAGCAGGATGCGAACAGTGTATGCGTATTGCGAATGAATAGTTAATGTTCGTTTGAGTGGTTTAATGTGTTCGCCTGATTAACGGGTGCTAACAGCTCTAGGTGCAGATGAAGAGAAAATAAACATTAGAGCGAGTAACGAGGCAGGGATTCGCTATTTGTCCAGCAAGTGCCACCACATTATCACCAACCAAAAAGAATGAGCAGCTCCTGTGACGTACGCCAAGTTCATCTTTCTGGGATTTTCGGACAGGTGGTAGTCTCAACGTATCCAGTCGCACTTGCAATATCTGTATCTACCCTGCAGGAGTGTTCTTGGACTAGGCGACTCATCGTGGCTGGTTTGAGCCAATTGAAGCGCACAACTTCCGGTCTGCTACGCTACATGCTTCTAGTGGCATTTCGCATGGTCCCGTAATAGAGACATTACTGTTGCTAATCTATGTAAACGACTTACCGGAAGAGCTTGGAGCACCGTAACTATGGTTTGCAGCTGACCCTATGCTCCGGAATATAGTGCATGTTGCTAGGGATGGTCGGGCAATTCAGATTACTTTGGACAAGTTATAAAACTGGCATTCATTAAATATATTTCAACAGTACAGAGTGACCTGATCAACATCACCGTTAGCAACAGCAATACATCAGACATTTGCACTCATTCTTCGCTGCCGAATAACCATAGTGACTTATATATATATATATATATATATATATATATATATATATCATCATCATCATCATCATCATCATCATCATCATCATCAACCGCAGTACATCAGCCATTTGAACTGATGCTTCGCTGCCATACCACCATGATGACCAATGGAATAAAGAACATTAAGAGGGAGAGAAGGGGGACTTACCTGAAAACTTTAATGCCCTAAGCAAACATTCAGGATCAAGGCGGCTACACATTGTGTTAACAACATACCGTCACAAACAGTTGGCTATCGTGCAAAGATAAACCGGCATCGGCGAAACAGTTTCCTTGCGGCTTTCACTGTCCCGCGTCATAACCAGCCAGTACCCCGCAGATAACTCAACACCAAACACACTTTAAACAGACAATCGGATTAGGAGACGGCAGCAGACGCACCACTGGTGTCGGTTGCGAGCCATGTCCTGTACATCTCGAGCCAAGCACGAGGCGAGTCACGTGGACTCCAGCCCGGAAGGCGAGACGGACCAACGGCACCCAGTTTGTCGTCAGTGACTTCATTTGCCGCTGCAAAGTCAACTTCTGTCCACCTCGAGCCTTGTGCCACCCTGCAACTGGCAGACTAAACAAGGCCCTCCTAGGTAAGCGGTGACCAGGCATACGTAACACGTACACGAGCCAACGCAACTTATTCAGTGCTATCTGTTGTTCTAACGAGCTAGCATGATTATCACTACGTAGTACTCGCCTACGCACAACATCGTTACGGACACGCCAGTGCCATCCGACACCAGCAATGCTCCACAGACAACGATGATCAAAGATTTGAAGGCGCCTCAGATCTTCAGATCGAAGGGGTCAAGTCTCACTCCCATAGAGCAGAACGGCCCTCACTGTAGCATTGTATGCACGGCCTTTCAGACGGAGGGAAACTCCCTTCTGTCGCCAAAGATGCCGCAGATCCCAAAAGCAATTGTCTTTTGCAGTGTGTGAACTGACTTCAGTTACTGTGCGCTAATCGTTGCTGATGCAGCTGCCAAGATAAGTGAATTGATCAACCACCTGGAGTTCCTAGTTAGAAAGGTTCAGGGGGTCATGAAGTGGCTGGTGCTCCTGCAACAACACTGCACACACTGCGCACACCATATAATGGGACCACCTTAGACCGGCTATTCAGGGTTGATTGTGCCGTCGCAACATCGTCGAAAATCAAGACGATATCGTTCGCATAATCAAGAGCAACTAATCTTTCACCAGGCAGCATTTCAACGTCCACATGGTGAGAACAGGCAAGAGAAAACTCCATGACAGAGTCCACGACGAAACTGAACAAACATGGGGAAATCAGACAACACTGACAAATGGCACTTGTGGTCGGAAAGCTATCCGATAGGCCACCGTAGATCCTGAGGCGGCCTCTAATGTTTGAGTACAGAGTGCGTAGGATATTCACAAATTTCGTGGGAACACCTTTTCGCGCAAGTAGTTCGACCAGAATACATCAATCGATTGAATCGAACGCACTCCAGAAATCGAGAAACACAGCTATTGTCAGTTTGTGGTATGCATGGCGCTGCTCTAGCACCTGCCGCGGAGTGAATATATGGTCTATACAGCCACGTCCTGGGCGGAAAAGTGTCTGCTCTTCCCTAATCCGAGATTCCCGTTCCACAGCGAGACGACGAACGAAAATGGAGGCCAGTAACTTTGTCATAACTGGCGTTAGGCTAAAACCGTGTGGTTAGAAGAGTCATTGTCACTGCCTTTCTTGTATATTGCCATTATAATCGATTCGAGCCAATTAGCCGGGAGTCTTCCTTCCAAATATGTTCGAATAGGGAGGTCAGTGCTTTGCAGAGGACCTCACCTCCATCCTTAAATAGTGCATGTGGGAGAGGATCCGGGCGAACGTCACGAAAACGATTGAGGGCTGTGATCGCGTTTCGGACCGCAGTCTCTGACGGAACCTCTAAACTAAACGTCCATGGCTCGTTCTGCATCACCTGAGTAAAAAGAGGTCCGGGAGCAGTGGGCTAGCCGAACTGATCTTAAAAGTGTTCCGCCCAACGAGCCATACGGCGCTCCTTATTGTGTACCAGTGCATGCGCGCTGTCTCTGAGTGTCTCACTGACGCCTAGCTTTCTGGGACCAGTGGTGCGGATCAGATGGAAGAGTTTTCGGTAATTGCCTACTGCTCCTGCCTCCTCCATTTCTTGAGCCCGACTGGTCCACCAGGCTTCCTTGTCAGCACGTAGGCTCCGCTTTAGTTCGCGCCTAATAGTCCGTCTGGTCACATTGTACTCAGAGCCAGCCGGGAGGCTTCTTCCGGATTCCAACACGTTCACGGACCTCTCGGATATCCAGTGACTGGTGCGGCGATGATGGATAGTACCACAAGCAGATGCTCCTGCGTCGTGTATGCCGGCCGAGCTCCTATTCCACTGAAGTTCAGTGTCATTAGAACAAGACAGCGAAAGTTCGGTATGCAGCGCGTCTTGATAGGCTTGCCTGGCCGAGGGCTGAGACGATTTCTCAGTTGCCAATCGGAGGAGACGCTTGGTGCGTCCCCCAGTAAAGTTCATAGAGTAAGGAAAGCGTATCAAGGCATGATCAGAGTCGACGCAGGTACTCCAGTACGAGTGGCAATCCAGGATTGAACCACGCCACCTGTAACTTATGGCAATGTGATCAATTTGAGTCCATGGCTGGCCAGCTAGAGGAGGATGACAAGTGGCACTTCGGCGCCCACTGTGTCTAAGAGCAGTGCTACTAAGAAACAACTGGTGCTCCGTACACAATTGCAGCAGACGTTCGCCGTTGTCAGTCCGTTTGGAGTTGAGCCTATAATTACCACCGAGCTGTGCACCTGAGAAGCAGGAGCAGGAGACTGTCCTAACAGACTGAAGCCACTCCGTAATAGTACCAATTTTCAAAGGAAGGCTCCCGTTCCGAATACGGAAGTCATGGAGGAGTCAGTCTGATCTCCATGGTCTCTAAGTTGCTTGCGTCTGTCCTCCTCCATAGACTAACTGGCACTCGTGAAAGCCAGATGCGCCAGCAGCAAACCGGGTGTCGTCGAAATCGAGGCTGCATTGACCACATCTTCACAGCGATGTTCATCGGCGAAGTCGTGTTCCTAGTCATCAAAGGGGCATTTGATTCTGTTGATCGAAGTGCCCTTTGGGACTGCCTACTCAGAAATGGTGTGCCCGAGGAATATGTAAACATTATCCGAGCGCTATACGAGCGTAGCTCAGGCACAGTGCCGGGTTTACGGTAAACTTTCGCCGCGACGAGACTGTACCTTAACGTGGTGCGGTTTGTGTGGCTTATTGATCCATTGAGCTATGCTGAGTGGTGCTTTTTTGCACCTTCAGAGTCACTCATACCAGATTGGTCAATGGTTAGAGGCCAGACAAACAGTCTCCTGGCCCTTCAGATTGGGGGTTGGAGTGTGGGAGGCTCCATACTCTGTAGTCCAGTGCCAAAACCCCGCTGCCTTGCGGTAAGGCTCTTGAACCAAAGGCTTTGGTTGAGAACCCTAATCGTTCTCCTGTCTAGGCCTGGGCAACCTGACAGTATCCTGTCCACGCAATACAATGAACCTTTCTTCTAACAATTTCTTGATGCACTAGTCGTCACAGAGGATAATCAACGGCGCCCAATCTGCTGCATCGAGCAGGGCGGATAGGAGTTTGGATGCTACTGCTCAGGCCTTCCCGTCTTCTTATTCCCCCTCTTATGGTTTTTCATTCTTATCATTCCGATCCAAGCTTACTTTTATCCCACCATTTTCAATGCCCAAATTCTCAGCCACCCCCCACCTTGCTTCAATAGTCGTTTGCCTTCTAGTTTCAACTTACACAGTCGCAGCGCGTCGTTCCAATCCAGTCAAAATGTCCATGTTCAACCAAGCGGACAACCTCAGTTCCTCCGTTTCCCTTTGGAGTCCTAGAGTCTCGCTAAGGCTGGCATGCCTCAAAGTGCGCACTTTGTTACAGACTGGCCAACAGGCAGCACTTGCCCGCACACTAGAGAGCCTACCAATCGATCTCTGTTGTTTATCAGAAACCTGCTTGCAACATTCGAGCTCCGTGCTAACGTTGCGATCCCCCACATGTGACACTGGCGGCATATTCTCATTGAGCCGGTTTGGCGATGGTGCAGCTTCAAATGCTGGTCAAGC